CTGCATAGACAATTTTCTGTCATAGACTTTAGTTCCCATTACAAACTCTAAATACGAAATTTGAAACAATTCCGGTAAATAATGTCGACAAAATCACCATACCTTTATATGGAGGCTATACGAAGACGTGGGCCTGCATACGCATTACGAATTCTAAATACAAAATTTGAAACAACTAAAATCGTCAAAATATCGAATATTGAGGGGTACCGTTGTATGTGGGCTATACGATATCGTCGACCTATATAGACATTTCTCTTCTCCGGGGCGTAAAGTGCTTAGAAAGAACTTCTAGTATGGGGTTTTAGACTATTACATTGAAAAATGTAGCTAAAATTATGAAAATACCGAATATCGTTAGGTACCGTTATATGGGGGATATACGATATCGTGGACATACATAGACAATACTCTTCCGGGGGGTAAAGTGTTCACAAGGAATTCCCTTTTTTTTGGATTTGCAGATAATTTTATTTTCAAATTTGTCTACAGTAATTAAAATATCGAATATCAAGGTGTTCCGTTATATGAGGGCTATATGATATCGTGGACCGATATAGCCCATCTTCGAACTTGACCTACCTGCAGACAAAGTCTTGTCTATGCAAAATTTTAGCTTCCTTTCTTTTATTCGTTTTGACTCTAGCGTGTTTACAACAGACGGGTAGACGGACGGACAGGGATAAATCGTCTTAGAATTTTACGCTGATCAAGAATATATATACCACACATACTATGTATGGTGGAGGGTACAAAAAATAATGTCGGTAGCGCTCACCATTCACTGTTACATTGCAATTCACAACAACTTTGTAGAAGTACAATCCAATGATTCCACTAGCCAATGAATAACACCAGAATCTGACTTTTTCTGGATGCATTGGATGCTTCTGACTGATCTTCGCCCCAAGGCGAAAAATCTGCTTATTCACGTATCTATTGAGCCAAAAATGAGCTTCCCCTCTGAACACAAGAAGCTCTCGATAAATTTTCTTAACCGTGCACGCATTTTGATAATAGAATACGATAATTTCAAAACGTTGTTCGATTAAAGACCATCAATTGAGATAAGCCCAAAAGTATGACGTATTAAATTGATTTTATATGAAAACATACCAAAGGCATTTTTTGTCTTTCTTGTTCACTTTATGAATGATCTGTTTTTTTATGACGCTTCGGAAGTAAATACGAAAAATAAAATATTCACTGTACGTTCTTTATACCCTCAGCCATTTGATAGGTCAAAACGTGCCTAGTCGAAATAACGGTTTAAGACGTTAGGTCTCTTTGAACCAAATCCGTTTCAGGACATTTGGGGTCGATCTTGCGATGTCCGTCCGTCCGTCTGTCTGGCTGGTGCGCATGATAACTCTCGAAGGGAGTATCCGATTTGATCCAAACTTAATGCATCGTAATATTATTGTCAAACATAGATTAAGGTACCTTCTGGTACCTTACACACAAATGGTCGAAATTTCAAAAAAAAAATATTGTACAGAAAGAGAAAGGCTAATCCAATTTTGCTCCATCATTGCAAATCCTAATATTTGCATCAGTTCTAGGTCAGGTGCGAAAATGGACAATATCGGTCCACTCCATCAAGTACCTCCCCCCACAAAGGGTAAAATTTTTGTATACTTATAGCATTTATAAAATGCGATGTAAGAGTCTTCAAATTTCACACATCCCAATATTTTTTATCAACCCAAGGTCCGGTGTGAAAATGGAATATATCGGTCCACTTCCTCTGGTATCTTCCCCACAAAAGATCGAATTTTTCAAAAAATATATTTTCTGCACAGGAAGAGAAACGATAATCCGATTTTGTTCCAACTTTGCAAATCCCAATATTTGTGTCAGTTCTACGTCCGGTGCTAAAATGGGCAATATCGGTCTACTGCATTAAGTACCTCCCCCACAAAGGGTCAAAATTTTGAATAATTACAATTCTTATAAAATGTGATGTAAGAGTCCGATTGTCTTCAAATTTCACACATACCAATTATTTTATTAACCTAAGGTCTGGTGTAAAGGTGGAATACATCGGCCACTCTTTCTGGTACGTCCTCCACAAAAGGTAAAATTTTTGAATATCCATGAAACTCATAAAACACGAAATTAACATTTGATTCCATTCAGAATTAGCAAATTTCAATATATCTATCAACACGAGATTTATTATAAAAACGGTAGAAATCGTACCATTCCTTCTGGTACCGCCCCCACAAAGATCAAAGCTTTGAATAACCAAAACGATTGTAAAATACGAAATAAGCATCGGGTTCCCTTCATATTTCACACATCTTATTATTTCTACTAACACAAGGTCTGCTATGAAGATGGGTCCTTCTGGTACCTCCCCCACAAAGAGTCAAAATTTTGAGTATCCATGAAGCTCATAAAGCGCGAAATTAACATCCGATTCCATTCAGACTGGGCATATCTCAAGATTTCCATCAACGCAAGATCAGGACCATTTCTTCCTATACCCTTCCCACATAGGGTTCAAGATGTTGAAAAACAAACCCCTCATAAAACGCGAAATAAATTTCACATCCTCCAAATATTTTTGCTAACACAAGATCTGTTTTGAAGATGATATATAGCTGCGAACCCCTTTTGGCACCTCATCCGCAAAGGACCACAATTTCCAATGACAATTTCTTCTACCTCTGAGTGCAGAATGTAAATTATTTTGATCAGCCCGAATATACTCTCCTTTTGGCTCTTGACCGTTTATTTCTTTATCTCTTATTCTTTTTTTATTAAAATGTCTGATAAATTAAATTTTAATTAATTGCCTTGGTGTTTTTTTTCCAAACATATAACATCGATATAGATGTCTCTGTAAATTCTTATTTGAAAAGGTCACCCATTTGTGTGAGTGTTTAAATAAAAAGTAACTATATATCTTGTCATGGCACATTTTAACTGCAAGTGTGTTTGCGTGTGTATCTGTGTAAGTATCTCACTTTGTGAACCCAAATTTCCATTTATTAAAAACAGAAGCCAAATAAACAATAACGTCGAGACAGAACGATGACGTTGAGTTTGTTATTTTCGCCATGTTGGCACCCTCAATTTTTTGCATGCTTTTATTCGAAGGGAGCTGGAGGGGGGGTTCGTTGTTTTATTGCCAGAAAATGTGTTTACAAAACAAAGTTGCTGACACCAAAAAAGAGGAACGTAAAGCTAACAGAACTTCCACACACACATACACACAGCAACATTGTCATCACCTATTGGAGCAATTCAAAGTATACTTTTAGGCAACAGAATTTATTGTCATCTGTTTTTGTTTTCTTCAATTCTTTTTATTGAGTTGAATATTTATTTATCTAGACAAAAGGGAAAGAAATCTTATTTTTGTTTTGACGCCACCAATTCATATTCGCATTTGTGTGATAAAAATTAGTTCAGCTTGTAAGTATGTGCTACTTACAATTTCGAAAACATATTGCCGACTTTTAGGCATCATTCATATTGGCATTTTCATTTACTTTTTTTGCTGTGGCCTTTGACCTTAGTTTTGTTATTCTTTGTCTGTAACGAACGCAGACATATTTATAATAAAATATTTTAGTTTATTGAACTGCTTCAAACATTGATTGCCTATACGATTACCATTTTGTCCAATAATGCATTTGTCTCCGACATTTGGTGATGGAATGACAGAAGACTTAGTAAAACCTGAAATAACTCAGCTACAGTATTCTAATGGTAAAAAGAATCGTATACGATAATTTATCTAGGAACAGTTTTAAAGGAATATTGCAGGTATTTTAACTATTAAAACAAAAAATACTTATATGACCTTTAGGGGTCATATATCATTAAATTATATAAAAAAGGAATTAAAATTATAAAAGGAAATGTAGAAGATCCGCTATTTTTGAGTACCATTTAGAGTTTTACTTTTTAGAAGATCGAACGACTTACTCATTGTATATTTTACAAAAAAAAAAAAAAAAAAATATGTTTGTTTTGTTACAAGTAAAATAGTATAAGTCGGCTTTTCCGACAGATGTATACCCCAGCCTTGAGTTATGATTATTCAAACTGTTGACCCTTTATGGGGGAGGTTCCGAAGCAGTTGGCCATTTCGGATTTAATAATCGTTTTGTTTATTCGAAAGTTGAACTCTTGGTGGGTGAGGTACAAGAACAAATGGTGTAATCTCTACCATATTTATAACAAATCTTGTGCTGATGGAAATATTGAGGAGTAATAAGTCTGAATTTAAACGGACCTAAATAGCGCGTTTTATGAGCTTCATGGATATTCAAAATGTTTACCCTTCGTGGGAGAGGTACCAGATAGAGTAGACCGATATATCCCATCTTCATAGCAAATTTTGTGTTAGTAGAGATAATAGGATGTGTGAAACATGAAGAGGATTGGTTGCTTACTTCGGATTTTATAATCGTTTTGTTGATTCAAAGCTTTGACCCTTTGTGGGGGAGGTGCCAGGAGGAATGGTCCGATCTCTACCATCTTTATAACAAATATTGTGTTGACGGAAATATTGGGATGTGCCAAGTCTGAATGGAATCGGATGTTATTTCGCGTTTTATGAGGTTCATGGATATTTAAAATTTTGACCCTTTGTGGGGGAGGTACCAGAGTGGACCGATTTAGTGGAGTGGACCGATTTATCCCATCTTCTCAGCAGATCTTAAATTAGTTTAAAAAAATGGGATGTGTGAAATATGAAGAGGATTGGAGGCTTATTTCGGATTTTATACTCGTTTTGGTGATTCAAAACTTTGACCCTTTGTGAGGGAGGCACCAGAAGGTATGGTCCGATCTATCTATCATAATCATCTATCATCTTTATAAGTGAGCTTGTTATGATGGAAATATTGGGCTGCCAAGTCTGAATGGAATCAGATGTTATTTCCGCATTTTATGAGGTTCATGGATACTCAAAATGTTGATCCTTTATTTTAAATATTAATATAAATATGATTTTAATATACTTCCACAATTTTATATTACAGGGCTGTTACAGATCCACGCGATGGACGTCGCGTTGCACTGAAAAAACTTCCAAATGTTTTTCAGTCATTGGTTTCATCAAAACGAGTGTTTCGTGAACTAAAAATGCTGTGCTTTTTCAAACATGAAAATGTAAGTATTGAAAATAATTGTTAAATCTACCACCCCCTATGAATATTTTTGTACAAATGACAATAACATTTTCATAAAAGATTTTTTTTTTTTTTTTTTTGAATGTATAAAGAAATTCATTTTATTTCTCATTTCTCATTTAAAAAAAGTATAAAACAATTTGGCTCGGTCATTATCAGATTTCTGCGAGTGATTTATTTAGTTAATAAATATGGAGAGGTTTTTAAAGGTATACCAAACCCCAGCATGGTCATAAAATCACCCTCATTGCGTTCCTTAGTCTGCAATCATATAAAGATATCAACCTTAATTCGAATAAATAACTAAGTTTTCAACCATTTTGAAAGTGTTTCTATCTGGGCTGTGTAAACACACACCCTTTTCAAAGGGAATGTGGCTACAAACCAGCCGACTTTTGCCAAGAATATGACGCACATTTCTTTTGTAAAATTTGTTGTTCATTGTTTTTCGGTAGAAAGAAAGTTAAACTGTTAAAAGTTCGGTAATTGCGACCGAAATTTTAGCCACAAAACTTTTAAAGTATTCAACTACGCGCTTATGGCATAGAGCAACTCCTATTTATTGCGTGTTGTGTTTTCTGAGGTTCATTAAATCTAAAATTAAACAGCAAAAAGGGTGGGGAAAGCCCCACAGACTGTCGGGGTGGCCGAAACGGCGACAAGCAGTCACATATTAAAGGCTGTAATTGTAATTATACATTCTAGAAAAAACATGGGGGGAGAGCTCCTGTAAGCTTTGTTAGAAGAATTTAAATGACCATGTTGTGGTAAAAATCTATTTCTTATTTTGGGGAAGAAGTTAATAAATTCCATTTAAGTCCTCCTACTGTGTAGATAACAAGAGATTAATTTGCCTAAGACAAATGAGAAGTAGTAAACTATTCCTGGGTTTTCTACCACATTAAATCACGTGGATACCAAGTTCAATTAAATGTTTCTTATTAGTTTTAATTGAAAAATATTGTCAATTTTAAAATATCCATTTTTAACATAATATTTTAATTTGGTTTGTTCATTACTATGTTAATAATTCAGAGGAGAGAGGACTTAATTCAAAAACTTTAATAATTACCAGTTTATTTTGTGAAAAATGGCAATCGAAATTATTTAAAATTGGCTCATGTTGTGCAAATCGTTATTCCAACAATTGGATCGAAATATCATATTTTTATGAAAATAAAGGAAGGAAAACTTTTTTTTATAAATTTAATTAGTATATCCTTAAACATTTATTTTTATTTAGTTTTATACTGTCTTTGACGAAACATTTAGATTTTAACTTTAGCCGTTTCGTCATTCGTCACTCTAATTCGTCAGCGAAGAGTTTTTCAGGATTCAAACTCTATCCATTCACTCAACGGCAAATTTATTATTATTTAGTACTTTTTCTACAATTATAGTACACATTTTCCAAAACCACTTTCAAATCTCACTTTCATATACCAAGACAGACCACAGTATCAAATTTGAGGATTCCTTCACCCAATACCAAATTTAGCACCATTTAGTACTTTTCGTACAAAATATAGGACGCATTTCCAAAGTACCACCAAATATCGATTCCAGATACCAACAGAGACCTCAATATGAAAGTTGAGAATTTCAACCCTGGCACTTCACCCATTATCAAATTTGGTACCATTAGTACATTTTAGTACATTTCGTACAATTATACCATATATTTCCGCAACCACTTCCATATCTTCAGGCTACACCTAAAGAGCGATCTTAATAGCAAATTTCAGATTTCAAGCACTATCTGTTCACCAAATAACAACATGTAGTACTTTCATTTAAAATCAAATGATACCATTTTAGATATTTAGTACCATTATTTCTAACGGTAAATTTGGAATTTTTCCAATTAAAAAAATTAAATTTTTAGTACATTTTAGTACGTTTTATGCCCTCTACAACACTATGTGTGAAGTTTGATTGGGCCAAAAATTATGTAACACCTCGAAATATTGTTTAGAATAAGTTTAGATTTTTCGAATTGGTCACCTTTGGCACGAATTATGGCCTTCAAACGGCCAATGAAACCGTCACACGCTGACCGAATGTTGCTCTGCGGTATTTTGGCTCATTCCCGGCAAAACGCTTGCTTGAGGTGATAGACACTTTGATATTATATAGTGCCAACCTTGCTTTACAAAATACTCCAGACACAATAGTCCAACGGATTGGTATCCGGAGATTTTGGTGGCCATTGTGCGCTGAAAATGAAGCGAGGCACCTCATTTTGTAACCATTCTTGGGTGGCGCGTGCTGAATGCGATGCTGCTGAGTACTGTTGTAATGTCCAAGGTCTGCGGCCAAAATGTTCGCGTGCCTAAGCCTCCAGAATATTTTCGCTATAATATTCGGCATTTATTCTGATGCCACGTCGAATAATACGAGCGGAGAGCGACCATCGGCTGTTATGGCGGCCCACACCATCACCATGGCCGGCGCTTGAGTTCTGGTGGCCAACCGAATGTGCAAATTTTCAGCTGACCTTTTTGGCAAGTAAACCAGATCATTTTGTTTGTTTACAAACTGCTGGACAACGAATGTTTTCTCATCGGAGATAACCAAATTCTGCAGTTCACTCTTTAGCTCTTTTTAGTCTATTTTCTTTCTGTTACGGTGTAAGTTCTTGCACTTTTTGGAACTTCAATGGCTTTACCCCGAGCTCATTTTTTAATATTTGCCGAATGGAATATTGCGATACGTTCAGCTCATGAGCCATTTTTCGGCTACTGCGACGCGGGTTTCGATCAAGTCTCTTCTTTACTTTTCGAACCATTTCTGCTGATGTTGCTTTTGCTTTCTTTCGTCCACTTCCTTGACATCGGGCTACACTACAAGTATCACGGTAACGAGCCACTTGCGGTTTTCCAGCCAAATATAAAGAAATCACACTATCACGCTTGAATTCCATAACGAATAACTTTTTTTCGGGAAAATTCTCACTAAAATGCTTTTGTACGCTTGTAAACAATATAATGAGCTGTCACTGGAATAAGTAATGAGCTGTCACTGGAATAAGTTGTGTTTCATCCGACTTGGAGATGAGATCAGATTTGAATATAGCTTCCATATATATCTTCAACCCATTTTGGGTTAATTGTGAATCAATGGCCAATATCAGTCCACATCCGACCGAATTCAATTTAGAAGCAAGTACATCAAATTTGCTGAAAATCGGTTCCGATATGGCTATAGCTCCCATATATATGTTGCATCCGATTTGGGGTTTTAAATCGCTTACATTCGTAACATGCACCCTACAAGAATGATATTTGGTACCAGATATGAGATGCAGCCCAGAAATACCTCTGCCAAATTGTATCGAGTTCGGATCAGATTTGGATATAGCTAACATATTAATCTTTATCCAATTTCAGATTTAATGTGCACCAAATGGCTAATATCAGCCTAAATGAAGTGAATTATGGCACTTCCGACCGAATTCATCCTAGAGGCATGTACTTCAAATTTGGTGAAAATCGGTTCTGATATAGCTATAGCTCCCGTATATATGTTTCATCATCAATTCATCAATCAATTCAGAGTTGGAAATAGTTCCCCAAATTGTGACTACTCTAAAGCTATGGTACGCATTCAAATAAGTTTCATAGTTGGTATGATCTACTTCACATAGATTCCCAATATCACTTCTTTTCTTACGGGAGCTCTACCAAATTCGTATAGTGGTGTAGCGTATCATATAGTAGGCCCCGCTCGGCTTTTCCTTACTGGGTTTTCTATTGTGTTGTTATTTATTTTTAGAATCCGATTCTACGTGGCTGATTAAATGAATTTATTTGTATCTTCAAAACTCGATTTTATAGATTAGTAGTCACAAAAAAAGACTTCCTACGATGATCTGCAATATCTGTAATTTTCTAACCAAATATACTGCTGGCAATAGCACTGACATAAATCATAAACCATATTAACCTTAATGACAACATTAGTGGCCGTTATGAATACAACAACAACACAAAAGCACTGTAAATAATAATAATATCGAATAATATGGCTTATATTTAACGCCCACCATGAGCAACTGATGACGATGACAACGAAAACGGCCGGCTGTGCCCAGCCAACACTCGGAATTGCCCAGCCAGTGAGTCTGTGGACGTCATTTCGGGGTGTCAGTAAATCGCCGTAATTGTTATGTCAAAAATGTTGACAACATGTTCTGAACCTAACCAAAAACTGCAACAAAAAACTATGTGTGCCAAGACAACAAAAGGCGACCAACTGACACAGTGTCGGCGGCGGGCAAAAGCGCAGCAACAACAGCGAAAAACACTATAAATTCGATTCGACGATTTTGGTTGGTTAATGTGGGCGCTGCTATTATCTCCCGATACGCTACATCCATTGTTTTGGAGCGAGTTCTTTTGTGTTTTTTGTTCAGCTTTCCGATTGTTGACGTTGGTTGCATTAGAATAGTGTCAGCGTCGAAAACGTCGAGTGTCAAATGAATTAACAGTAGAATTGTGGAAAAAACAAAATGGAAAATTTATTAATTGAACAATATATATGTGTTAGAAATGAAATTGTTGTTACTGTTGTTTTTTGTAACTTATTTGCAATTCTGTTTTATGGCAGCAGTCGGAAACGTGTTTGTAACACACGTGCTAAAGATCTATGAGTAATGAAACATTTACTTTCTCATTATTTGTCAGAGGTATTTGGTAAAAAATAAAACAGAAAGCAAACACAAAGGCGTCACTATATGCGAACCCTTAATAACCTCCAGAATATATCTAAATGCATCCGTTCTAAGTGTTTTTATAAGGCATTTCGGATAAATAATTACAAGGAAAATATAGCAGATTATGAGAATAGATCTAAAATTGAAAGACACATGTATCGGCGTTTTGAATGTTTATATCACAAAGTAACCTTAAAAGACGAGGACCCGTCTTCCAATTTGTATACCCTCAACCATATGGTTAGAGACGGCCAAAACGTGCCTCA